GGGGGGGGGGTGTGACAGAAATTCTGGGAATGGGCAGTGGGGACAGATGCTGTAGAGACCTTGGCTTGGAATGGGGGGGGGGGGCGAGGATTTCCGGTGCAGGGAATGTTGATGGTGTAGTCAGGTTGCGTATTCAAGGATGTAGTCAGACTGCAGCACTGAGCCTATAATGGAGAGCAGAACTGTGAGCCCAAAGCAACCATAACAGTTCGAGGGCTTGGAGGCAAGCGGGGGAGAGCACTTCTCTGTCCAGGCATGTTCTAAGCTCCTCTATAACATCCTGTTTATTGCGGGCTGGTTTGTATTAGCGAGCTTTGCCACCCGCAGACTGAAAAACACGGAACATGTGTTGCAGTGGGGTCAGGGCCTGCCGTGTGCAGAGCGTGCGGCCAAGAACAGGAACAGGAACAGGACGGGCTTCCATTCTGCCCGAGTCCCTCCAGGAGTTCCTGGGAGACCCCATGCTTCATGAAACATTTAGCTGCAGGTCAAGGGCTAACAGGGTTAATGGTAATATGGTCCTAAGTTAATGTTCCGCTACACAGCGTCATTCCTGCAGCAAAACTGGACTATGGCTATGCTTTATGTCCTGTTCCCAGTTGTTATGTCACTGGAAACAGGGGTGCTTATTAATGTCTCTTGAATACCTCAGCCTGCTTAAATGCAAACTTATTCCGTTCCTGTCCCCTTCAACACCGTAACAGAACAAAATGGGAGGGGCTACCAGCTGGGAATTCTTTTGTTCAAAGCATCTGAGATTTGTACATTGACCTCTGTGTAGTTAACTAAAGGTTTGCCTGCAATGTGAGCCTACATTCCATCCACACAGCGGGATGGAATGCTGTTTACCAGGACGGGGCTAACCCGAGACTTTCAAGAGTCTATTTATTCCACTGAAACCAATCATTCCCAGCTCTTCACCAAACTAATAATACAGGTTTGCTTTACAGAAGAACAATATCTGCCCCAAGCGTCCAGGGTCCAGGTGCCACGGTAAGAGACGTTGTGCGTTTGTGTATCCGGTGAGGACTCCCAAGCACACAGATAAATTACAGCAGCCTGTTCCGCAACTACCTAACCAGCTGTTTTACAGCGTTCTGGTCATGTTTCTTTTTTTAAAGTGTAATTTTTCTGTATGGAAATTAGAGGCCTTGTGTGATTTTCTGTATATAAAATACATGATGATATTTGCAAACATGCAGATTTGCCCCAGGTAGATTAATAGCTGTTTCTCAGTCACAGTGAAAATATCAATGGGTTGTGATATTCACGTATTAAAAGTGAAAGGATCAAAGTAAACCAAGTACAGTGAATAGCAATTTTACAATGAACCATATTCTTTTTTTTATTATTGGATCTTCATCCTTAAAAATAGAGGTCACACACATCTTTAGTTTGTTCAGGATTTTTTTAGTTTATAACACTATGGCTGGTCTGTCCACCCAGATCTTTGAGAGCTGTAGTCCTGTGGTACTTATACAAAACATATTAATTAACGAAGCAACATGATGTTGAATTGTCCTCACACACCTCCAGGTTCGTTGGTTGACTTCTGCCCAAAATTTGTGTGTAATGGGATCTGCATTTTCTCCCCATGTTCATGTGGGTGCCTCAAAATATCCATCGGGGTTGTTTGTGTGCTGTGGTCCTAGGTGCACCTCGCCTTGTGTGCTGTGGTCCTAGGTGCACCTCGTCTTGTGTGCTGTGGTCCTAGGTGCACCTCGTCTTGTGTCCAGTGCTTCTTAGGATCCGCTCCAAGCTAACCACGGCCCTGCACTGGATATGCTGTTCCTGCAAAATATCGAATGGAGTTAATTAGCTCTCAATTTAAATAGGTATATGAAAATATTAACATATTAAATATCAAGTTTAGTGACAAACTATGTAAGGTGCTTAAAAAAAGATTCTGAACTGGAGCTGATCAAACTTAAAATAAAGGAAAACTCTGCCCCCTTTTGGTAGGTGAATAATGGAGCTGCTTATTTTGTGGCTGACTGCACGTGTCCTGAATGCTTATGCTGAGGTCTTCATCAGGCATAAAGGTTGGCGCTATGACTCCTTTCTTCAGAAAATGTCAATTCAATGCCAGAGGGTGTCACCAGTCACCCAGACTTCAACTAGAAGAAACATCACAGTACCAAAAGAAAAAGAACATATATTAACATATGGGTTTTGGCTATGTCTTTGTGTGTCTGTCTGTGTATGTCTGTGTGTGTCTCAGTGTGTCTGTATGCGCGTGGGTGCATGTGCGTGTATGTGCGTGTCTTTGTGTGTATGTGTGTGTCTGTATGCATGTGGGTGCATGCGTGCGTGTGCGTGTGTTTGTGTCCAGGTCGCACTTTCATTTTCCTGGCCTTTTTGTTTCCCCAGTTTTATATAGCAGACAAGAGAAAATGGTCAATAGAGAAGTTGTACGTGTGGCTTGTGCGTAGGAGACCGTGTGCAATGGAGAGGTAAACAGAGAAAACCCAACATAAAATCCCCGACCCTGAGACGTATCAAATCACCCCTGGTAATTCCCCTTTTCACTGAAAGTGCTGAAGTGATTCACAAAACAGCTATGGCTAGAAAAATATGCGAGATTAGGTCATCGTAGCCTTATACTAAGTTTTATTACGTTAATCTTAATGTTTTAAAATTTTCACATATGACTAAATTCCAAATGTAGACGAGGCATATGTATAAAAGTTCAAAGGTACAAAGAAATATTATGGTCATCTACATTTTTAAAAATTTTCCACCCACTTTGAAGATGACAAACTGTCAGAAAGCATTTATAATGAATAAAAGGGGTTATGGAACTAAGGGATGCAAATGAATGTAGTGGGATGGTGAAGCAGGAGATGGAAGAGTTTAATGTGTTAGATTTGTTGGTGTTTCTCGGGAGGGGGCTCTCTACAACAATAAAGTGATTTCCGCGAATGGAAATCCCCCCCCCCCCTTTGAACAGTAAGTCACACACTGCTGTCACAGTCCGCATTGGCAGCGTGGCTGGCTGTTCTTCACCACCCTGCAGCAAGCCACCACACTAGATTTTCCTCCAATGACACAAAACCACCACAACAGAGAAATTGTAATTTTAATACGTTTGGTTCATAATATTCTATTAAGCTAATTTTAGTTGCTTGCATCTTGATTATCATCGTTGTATCAGTCATTTTCATTTGCGCCGCTAAAAAAATATGGGTTTTAATTTCACTTTCATATTGTAGGACAACACCCAGTAAATCATGTTGTAAAACCTTCAGAATCGATTCCAGTTTCTACAGGGTCTGATTTCTACAAAAGTCACTAAGCAAATATTTACTTCATGGGAGCCATCACTAGCTAACTTGACACCTAATCACAACAAGGTGTGAAATGCTTTACGCTGCGTTTATACACTCACCTAAAGGATTATTAGGAACACCTGTTCAATTTCTCATTAATGCAATTATCTAATCAACCAATCACATGGCAGTTGCTTCAATGCATTTAGGGGTGTGGTCCTGGTCAAGACAATCTCCTGAACTCCAAACTGAATGTCAGAATGGGAAAGAAAGGTGATTTAAGCAATTTTGAGCGTGGCATGGTTGTTGGTGCCGGACGGGCCGGTCTGAGTATTTCACAATCTGCTCAGTTACTGGGATTTTCAGGCACAACCATTTCTAGGGTTTACAAAGAATGGTGTGTAAAGGGAAAAACATCCAGTATGCGGCAGTCCTGTGGGCGAAAATGCCTTGTTGATGCTAGAGGTCAGAGGAGAATGGGCCGACTGATTCAAGCTGATAGAAGAGCAACTTTGACTGAAATAACCACTCGTTACAACCGAGGTATGCAGCAAAGCATTTGTGAAGCCACAACACGCACAACCTTGAGGCGGATGGGCTACAACAGCAGAAGACCCCACCGGGTACCACTCATCTCCACTACAAATAGGAAAAATAGGCTACAATTTGCACGAGCTCACCAAAATGAATATGACAATGAGTTCACTGTACTAAAATGGCCCCCACAGTCACCAGATCTCAACCCAATAGAGCATCTTTGGGATGTGCTGGAACAGGAGCTTCGTGCCCTGGATGTGCATCCCACAAATCTCCATCAACTGCAAGATGCTATCCTATTAATATGGGCCAACAATTCTAAAGAATGCTTTCAGCACCTTGTTGAATCAATGCCACGTAGAATTAAGGCAGGTCTGAAGGCGAAAGGGGGTCAAACACCGTATTAGTATGGTGTTCCTAATAATCCTTTAGGTGAGTGCAAGTCCATTTAATACTACAGTGTAGAAAACAGACATATGAAGATCTCACTCTTTGTGCTTGAGTAGACTTACAGTCCTTCTATCCTCCAGCTCAGTTTTGCAGAGTTTTAGTCATTGTCCTGTCTTGTGAAGCCTGAATGCCTCAGAAATTAGAGTCTCAGGTATCCAACTCAGAATATTCCAGTTAGTGACAAGCCATGACCAGCTCAATTTGGCAAATTAGCTAAATATTTTACAGCAGTGGCTACTGCTTTAACCATCTGTCATGTTTAGCAGAAAAGTAAAACTATTTAAGGGCAGTAAAATCTTCTACATCAAAACATGCTGTTTCACATGACCGAAAACAAGTGTCTTCTCTGACATCAGTGGAATGTTAATAAAATCAACTCACCCAACGAGACACAAACCTTCTTATGTCATACCATGCAATGGAGATTTATGGGAAATGCAGTGCATATGTTATCTTTGCATGTCAATAGTATGGTCTTTGTTTTGTTGATTCGGATGTATGAATTGTATGATAATTTGACCTTTAATCTACTAGTAACATAAGCCATTTCAGGAATACCAAGGTCTTTGATTTGCAGAGCGCCAATAATACTTCTCTGATGAAAGAAGGAACAAAATAAGCAGTAGTTGAGATAGTGAAGTTGCTCTGCGTATTTTAAACTTCAACTTCCACCAATATGGTCAAAACTCCACCAAAGTTTTACTGTAGCAACACAAACAAATCAATGCTGAAATAATCTGTTCAATAGAAAAAAGTTTGGTAACGCATTACATTAACTGCATCTTCATAATACCTTTATAATGCATTCATAGAACATTTTTAAGCATCATGTAAGTATACCTTAACAACCTAACATACCTTAACCATTTTAATATATAATGCATTACCTAAAGTTCCTTAATCAAATAGTGAATTTCAGGAAATCAAATCAAATCACTTTTATTGTCACTTCGCTATAACGAGTGAACTAGTGAGCAAAAGGTTTGGGTGAAGAGTTCCCCATCAGCGGTGCAGTACACCACATGCGGTCTAACTGTTGAATTACCTATTATACTCCAAATAAAGCTATACGTCTAACACGTGCTAATTATTTTATCATGAATTCTATAGACATCTCACCTCGATTTTAGTTTATTTAGCTTTTAGCTTTACCGTTTAGCATTATAATAGGCAGGGGCGCCGTAAAAGGGGGAAAGTTAGGATGCTTCCAAGGGCCCCTGAACGATAGGGGCCCTAAAACGTTTGGAACATAATTGGATTGGTCTGGGCATGGGGTCCAAAATCTCTAGCAGCACCCCCTGATAGTAGGAAGTAGAATATATACCAGCATAAACATAAAATAAATACCAGCATAAATGATAAAATAAATTAACAAATTCAGTTTTCCCCTTTTTATTTAAATTTATTTGTCCTTTCTATGTGTGTGCTGCATGTCTCCATGTGTGTGCTGCTCCTTGCTGCTTAATGCACGAAATTTTCCTCTGGGACCAACAAAGTATGTTTTATCATAGGCGCGTCACTAGATATTAATGAAAACGTTGCCTTTAACAAGCGTATAATGCAAGGACTAGTAAAACGTGTGTTAATTTTGTGCTTCTGTGTATCACAATGAAACCAAATAGACCATATAAAAAATTTTTGAATTTTTAGATAGTCTTTTGCTGTATCATAAATCAGTTTTATATACTGCAATAAAATAGCTCCAAACCTGCATCTTTAAGAAAGCATAGGTTACTACGTATTTTTACATGCACGACTGAATTGCGCATCTCAGGAAAACCACAAGTCACCTGGTATCTGCAGTTAAAATTATAATTATTACTTTTTACTTTTAAGATTCCAAACTATATAATAAAAACGCTTATTGTGTTATTAAACGCTGATTATACATTCTTACTTATTGCAGCTCGTAATCGTTATTAAGTAATAGTTTCCAAAAAGGGAAGTTTCGTGAACCCGATTAGCTGTCATAAGTAGGAAATAGGAAATCGAGAGCGTGTCGCTTTCAATTCGCAACGTGTGTATAGATTTAAGCCTATAATTGTACCCAGTTATAATACAACATTTTACGGAGGCGCGTTATTTGAGTACTTTGGGTATTTCAGTAGCTTATGCATGCCTGACCCAAAGTCCATGCGCATTAAAATGATAATTTTAATTAAGACAGTAAAACGGGTTTAGAAGCAGTGCTTTTCAGTGAAAAGAGTTCTTTGTTTGTAGTGTAGCGAAGAACAATTACTGAGAGTTGGTCACTGTCATTTAAGAACAGACTGATTTGATCTGACTACTGTATGTAATACCAGCCTGGCCCTAAACAGTACTAGCTTTGTAGTTAAAAGATGGAAGACAAGAGAAAGACAATGCGTCTGCGAGAATGGATTATCGCTCAGATTGAGAGCGGAATGTATTCGGGACTTTGTTGGGAAAATTGCGAGAAAAACACGTTTCGAATTCCTTGGAAACATGCAGCAAAACAGGACTATAAGCAAAATGAAGACGCGGCACTTTTCAAGGTAAGATAACACTGAATGCAGACGCGCTACAGGCTCATGTCCGTCAATATATTTTAAGTAGCTTGAAATTATGATAGCATAGTAGGTAACTCTTCATATTTAGATGCAAATCTGCTAATTTTCAAATTAAATGTTTACTTACAAACATGTATTGCAAAACAAAATCTATATATGTGTATCATAATATACAATGTAAGATATGTTTTATATATCTTTTTTATTCTCTCTTAGGCATGGGCTGTGTACAAGGGCAAGTATCACGAAGGCCAGGACAAGGCTGATCCTTCGGTCTGGAAGACGCGTCTACGTTGTGCTCTCAACAAGAGCAGCGACTTTGTGGAGATGCCAGAACGCAGCCAGCTGGACATCAGTGAGCCCTACAAAGTGTACAAGATCCAGACTGACCAAGGTATGGCTGCAGGTGTGGGGGAAGATCAGCACCCTGGTCACAAGGCAAACCAGAGGGACATGCTGAGCATCTTACCAGCTTCATGGTTTTCTGTCCTCAGATAGTCCAGGGAAGCGGGTAACCTTGGGTATCTGTTCGCCAAGCACAACTCTCAGGGCGCTGGCGAAATGCCACATGGAGGTAAAGGCACTCTCTCCTGAATTGCCCACCTTATACTCATATCGCTAATTATTCTGGATTTTTCTGCAGACGTCTTCGTCCACGGTGTTGCACCATGTTTGACTGATTTAATGCACAATTTAACACTTATTTATACAACTAAATATTTATTAGTGGCAAAGTATGGTCCATTTTGTAATAGAAAAAGTCTGGTTTACTTCTCAGAACTGGAACCTGGGATTCTTTGGATTCAGAGGCTTTTTAGTATTTATTTGCTTAGCTGATGCTAGCATGTATGGCTGGGTGATTTATCAGAATAATTAGATTTGGTTCTTTTCCCAATTGTGCAACAGCAGACCTTCTCCTCGGCCGTGTCCAGTTACATCTGAGTCTTGGCCTCTCATGCTGCCTGGACCTTCTAACCCTCGCTTCTCCCCACCAGCCTCAGCTGTATCATCCTCGACTAGTGTTTCAAATCGTATTTCTCCTCCTCTGTAGTGTGTTTCTCCAGTCCAGGCCAAGGATCGAGGCTGGGAAGGGAAGACGGACCCTGCTTGTCTGCCCCAGCATCCTGCAGGTCTGGCTGTCCGTTCGGCCCTGCTGGGTTTCCTTGGTGACATTGCTCGTTTTCTTTGGGTTAGACCAGACCTGTGCAAAAGCCAGCCCCTATTTTCACAGGCCCACTTGATTTTTAAAATGGGAAGAAGTGGGTAAAGTTTTATGTTCGATTTTATGAAGTTGAATAGATTTTATTCCCAACAAATCTGTCCTTGAATTAGTAGTAAGTGTATTGTAAAAACTACAGTCTTATCATGTCGTTCATGGGACATGAAAATAAATAGTTAAAAACAGCCTCTCCTGACATGAAGCTCAGATTTGGCCCTCCACTGAAAATTACTTCTCAGGCCTGAGTTGTGAAAGAAAGCCACTCTTCTTAAGCACTGTTATGAAGTATGGAGGTGCTGGGAATGATGGCTGGATGCTGTCGTAACAGGTATGGATGCTAGAGGGGCGTCCTGCCCGTGGTCTGTGTTGGGAGAGCCGGGTCCTGCTGTCACCCGTCCGTTTGTGCCGCTCTCCAGCCACGAAGTGATTCATATATCAGGTGTGTTTCTCCAGCATGAGTAAACCTCTGCCTCTGTCTGTAGTATTTCACTTGATGAAAACTCTTCTTGCCATTAAATGTTGATTGTGGGTGTTTTATTCATTTCTGTGTATTATTCTCTTTCTTTTCAGAGTTTCGGTTGCGAGTGTGTCTCTTCTACCAGGGCCAGATGGTCCAGGACTTCACCACCAGCACACCAAGGGGCTGCTGGATCTCGCACGGCGCAGTGCCCGCAGAGGACGAGCGTGTGTTTGGCCTGAGGGCTGCGGAGCAGCTCCGCTTCCCTCTTCCAGAGATCATTCGGACCACGGGCGCCGTGTGTGAGGTCATGGGTCGCCTGCTGCCCCACCTGCAGCGGGGTGTACGGGTGTGGGTCACCCAGGACGGGGTCTTCATCAAGCGCTTCTGCCAGGGCCGCGTGTACTGGGGTGGTCCGCTAGCCCAGCATCAGGACCGGCCCAACAAGCTGGAGCGGGAGAAAACCTGCAAAGTTCTGGATGTATACGTCTTCCTCCAAGGTATCAATCTAAACAGATCAGATCTGAGGGTTAGGGATGGTGACACAAGGCAAACCGGTCCGTTCAGTATCCAAACAAACAGCCAGCTAAGCAACAAGTATGAAACATTTTACTGTTACTTACAAGAAAAATCTATACTTTTCATCACTGATACAAACACTAATGCTGGGGAAACCTTTTCAAAGGGAATCATGGAATCCATTTCTTGTCCTTTCTGTCTGTTTCCAGAGTTGAGGCTGTTCCTGCAGGGGGCTGGACCCAAGCCTAAATTTACGATTGACCTGTGCTTTGGAGAAGAATACCCAGAATCTATAGAGAGCAAGGCCAAGAAGCTCATTACTGCGGAAGTGAGTGTTTCCGTCACTTATAGAATAAGTCTCTCTCGAAAATTGTTGTTTCTCCCCTTTATCTCTGGGGACGGACGTCCTCTATCATCTCTTCTCAGTGTGACAGTTTGGGTTTTAGGAGGGCTGTGAAGTTTTAGGGGAAATGTATTTCACACCTGCTGTTAATGGTATTATTTTTCATGCTAGAATTAGAGCATAACTATAAGGAACGACTGCATGTGATCTGAGGGATTTTTTTGGGAGATCCCAGTCATTCCGGCCTTATGGCAGTTTGAGTGGCCAGTGAACCAGCACACTTTCAGTTCATCACATCAATTTGTGGATTATATGCCTAGAATAAAAAATGACCTTATTTTCTGGCTACAGGTGCAACCATGTGGATACCCATATAATGTTCTAAATTTGATTTGCTTTAATTTAATTATTTTTGCCTTGAATGACATTTAACTGACTTAAAATCTTGCTTTATAAAAAATATTCAAAGTTTGAAATTACAGTATCCTGAAAGATTTTCCCCTAAAACCACTTAAGGCATTTTTGTTTTCGCGTTGGTTTTCACGTCGAGTTTTAGTAAAAAAGTTGGAAGAATAAATATGTGCTTTGTTCACTTATCTGGTGTGCAAAGTAATAAAATTCAGTCTTGACATCTGAAAAAGTTATTGTTCCCCTAGACAACTCGACCCGAAGAGGGGAACAATTAGACCCAGATACCTTAATACTTTGGCAAACTACCAGGCTGAAATGGGGTCAGCCTTGTCCAGGATGACTCTCAGAAATTCAGCCCTTACCATTAGGGTGAAGTTGTCAGCACATACAGTTTAGAGGCACTTCATGCCATGATCAAAAGAAATTCCTGAGGACCTCTGGGGAAAACTGATGCCTGTTTGCCTGGAAAGGGTTACATAGTCATTAGTCAGACTCCGAGGCTTCATTAATCGACGGTCGGAGACTCATTGTCCAAAAGGCACAAGTTTAGGATAGTAGCGGCTCTTCCTGCGAATTGGTGCACTGCCAAAACCAGGTAATACTTTACTTAAGGCCATGTTTTTAGTAATTTATAACCACATTTATAACAAATAATAATGCATTCATAAAGCATTATAAACATGGCTATAAATATATATCAAAAGGCATAACACATTATAGTCATGTGCATTATGCATTATGAATGCTTTATGAATCTCTCATCTATAATGCATAATAGATACCTTTAAAATGCATTATAATGGTTGGTATAAGCATTACATATCCTTTGTACTGCCTTATGAAGGTATTTATAGGGCATTTTAGATGAGAGCTTCATAAAGCATTCATAATGCATAATAATCATGGCGATAATGCACTGTGCCTTTTGACAAATATTTATAGCCATGTTAATAATGCTTTATGAATGTGTTATAATGCATTATGAGCATGGTTATAAATTACTAATAAGACGGCCTTAAGTGTTACCCAAAACCTTTCCAACAACGGCTAAAAAATTGTCCAAGAAGTCGCAAAGAATTCTAGAATGACATCCGGTCAAGAATTCAGTTATCATGACTTCAGTGTCAGAGAGATAGGGGACAGAAATGGAGTGCGATGAAGGAGAGGGTAATGGAGAACAACGGCCGTGCCAGAAGGTGCCTCTAACGCAGGTTTACCGATGATGGGTTGGAGCTTTTTTTAGCACCTAATGTCCATTAGCTTGGATGGAAATGAACCGCAGGATTGCACAGTGAGAAGCTGGGGTTAGGCGTGGTGTGACTGTCATAGTTTGGTGTTGCGTAGCTGCATCAGGACCTGGAGTAGTTGGTGTCACTCAGCCAGACACCAGCTGTGCAGGGGAATGTCGGGCCATCCGAGTGCAGATAGCTTATGCAGCCAGAAACTGTTCTGAAACAAACATCAGAAGGTTCAAGGACAAAGATATTAAAGTTTCAAATCAGCATAGTTCAGTGCCATCGTCAACTGAGATGTAGCAAGAACCCAGAGAAGTAATTTTACCCGCAGCTCCGCAGTTCCAACCAGTTGTGGAGGTGGTTCTGCATGTAGATGTGAGCCTACCTTCACTGTGCTGTGTTTAGAAACTATCAGATGCTTATTTGCAGTTGTTGCTGAAGTTTATTTAGGGTAAGAGGGCGGGTACTTTTTCTCAGAGGAGGATTGCATGGCATATTTTTTTTTTTTTTTTTTAGCAAATAAACATTGCAAGTTTTCAGCATTTTGTTTAATGTTATTCCCTCAGATGCCCTTTTAAAAATATGCTCCAAAATGAGATGGGGGCAGGTGTTTTTTTATCATGGTGTATATAAAAAGTCTAATTTATCACCAAAGTTAAAAAATGGTATGTAAGGAAGTAAAGGCCAAAGTGCTGGAAGTGCTCAGTTAAGCTGCAGGTATTTTTGTTTCGGGTAAAATGGGGCGGCGTCGCTCCACTGCGTTCCTTTAAGCGACTCCATGCTTATTATTCTTTCCTGTTTCTTTACTGCGGAGAAGATCGAGCCATTGTTCGCCAGAAATATGATGAGCAGTGCTCTGGACCTCCCAGCGGACATGGTACTGCAGGTCCGGGACTCGAGGGAGCACCAGCAGCGAGTGGCGGAACATTCTGGGCCAGACTTACGCCTGTAAACGAGCTGCCACCTGCATCTTATGGGTGAAGCCCCACACCTGACAGAGTGTGGAGCTGAATGTCCACTGTGGTCTCTGCTGTTCCCACTCTGGGGAGGGAGGGGGAGGGGAGGGGAGGGGGGCATGCATT